CTCTGCAATGGCATTTAAATGGATAAAATAGCTAGGAATAAATTTTAAGGAAGTAAAAGACTTTTAGACTGAACGCCATTAAACACTGTGGATAGACATTAAAGAAAAATCAAATAAATGGAAGGATATTCTGTGTTCATGGGTCAAAAACTTAATGTTGTTAAGATGTTGATACTACCTAAAACAATCTATAGATTCAATAGAATCTCCAACAAAATTTCAACAGATATGTTTTTGATCATTATAGCAAACTCATTTGAGTGGCAGGCAAAATGACTTAGTTCACTTAGAAAGCAACCTGGGAAAGGAGTTGTTCCCCAAGGCAGAAAATGTTGGCCGTTTAAAGAGATCATCTTGTGCTGAGAGTAGAATATATTTTAGAAGGTGACAACCTCTGTTTCAATATAAGTGAATTATTCAAACATCATAAAACGTTCATTTCTCATTTTTATCTGACTTTTAATACAATCAATAAAGACAAGTATGAAATGGACCTTAATCAAACACGTAAGCATCAACCATTTCTGTTTAATATCAAATTTATTTTAATGTGGAACTTTATGTTTCAAGTAACAGCAAAGAGCATTCAACATTAGAAAAAGAAGAAAGTAAACTTTGTAGTTTGCAATTTCAAACTTTATTCAGACTACAATTGCACTTTTCTTATTTTCATGAACTATAAGATCAAATGAGAACAAAATGCATATAACTTGGTCATATAATGGGTCAATATATCAAAGCTTATTGTCTTCATCATTATCAACATCACTCTATGCTAACACATATGGATTGATGATTGATTACCATATATTAAGCATGAGTTTAAGTGATAAACATGTATTAAATCTATGTCACATATCATAAAAAATCATTAATACATAAATAAAGAACAAAGTGGTGAATGGGTATAATTTGAAATAGATGTGTATCCTAGTTATATTTATGGAATTATTTGTTTGTTAAGAGTTATGTTCCATGATAAACAAGTTTGGAAATATTAGAGAGATATTGGCATACTTTTTTTTTTATTGCTATTAGAGGCTTCTACTAGAGGAAAATGTTCTCTAAATTACATTAATCAATTTCAAATATTTATTTCTATCTTCCACATAATTTTAAATTTGCTATTAATTTAAGATATAACCATATATATATATATATATACAAAGAAACACATACACATACACACACATATATACACACACATACATATATAATGATGATGAAGTTTAGTTTATAACAAAATCTTTACCCAAATACAGTTTGGAGACCACAAAAATAAACATAAAAGTGTTTTTGAAATAAAACCCAGTGCCAGCATGTATAACTTGCTCTTTTCTCACTGAGTTGCATAAATAGTAGCTTCTAAAACATTGCAGAAGTCAGATACAATTTGAAAAATTATATTTTTTCTTATAGTAAAAGTGGCTTTACATTGAGAATAATTTTGAATGTTTTTAACATAGTGTTTCCATTTTACAGAAAAACAAATCGAGGCCAAAAAAAAAAAAAAAAGAAAAGGGGTTTAAATATATGTAGAACACTAGATTCTTGTCTGGAAGGTCAGTTGTTGTTGAAGCTGTCCTTTTACCCAGCTTAATCAGTAGAAAATAATGCAGAGAGGGAGGCTACAATTGAGAGAAACGTTTACGGAAAGATCAGTCACAATAATGAGGA